AATGGTTCACGTGTAGTGGGAGACCCTATGAATTCAATGGATACTAGTAAGCTGATGAAAAGGGGATAACTGTTGTTTGATGATTGAAATGTAAAAGTATAACATGTACTATGATACAGTTTATGTATGAATTCATGATATTTATGATATTATTGTTTCCATTGGTCGTTTTTATAAATCCCACTGAGATAAGTGGACGGTAAATGGTTTAATTATTAATAAATAGATTTATTGAAAATTTGTACTCCATTAGTTATTTTTGGTTTTCTACCAACATTTACTTCTGTGACAGTGATATAGTGTGATGTTTTTACTAGACTAGTATAGTTCATTCCTTACTTAACTATTTCAGATCAGGAGGACTTGGTTCTCAAGCCCGATCTACAAGAAGACGGCGAGTAGATACCTAGATGTTTATTAGTTACTTTTATAGTTTTTCATTTCTAGTATTTTCCTTTGGATGACTTATTTTCGGTATTGTTAGTACGTTTAAGTTATTGTGTAAGAGATATTAACCAGAACCTTATATTTCGCTTCCGCACTTATATTCTTTATATATATTTTCTTTTTAAATTTTCGGAGTCGTTACAAAACCCACCTTTTTTGTTTTTAATTAAATGGATAATTTAAAAATTCATTTAATTTAATTTTCATTTAGTGGCCTAATTAGTTAATTACATGAATTCGTATCCCAAATGTTGACTCTAAAAAGAGTTTATATATATAAAAAATTATCATTAGAATTGTTTCGAAATGGTTGAATTTCACGTGAGCTTATGTAAAAATTTACTTAGAACTTATAATACTAAAATTAAAAAGAAAATATTTGTAATTAAAAGTTTTGTTTTAAACAAATGGTTTTTCTTGTTATTTCAAATATTTTTTTTATCAATTTATGTTAACTTTTTGTAGGATAGGAAAATACATAAATCAAAAACAAAATTAAAAAAGCAATTATGGAAAATTCCTCTTTGGAGTCCAATATATATATCGGTAGACATTGAAACTACCTCATAAAAATCGTGACCATTTGAAATAAGCTCATAAAATATTTAAGACAATATAATTAGGTTGTATTAGTGACATCTTACATATATTTGATATGGTTTTACTTTTGGCCAAGAGCCATCTTTTGTGGTTCCCTTGATTTTGATTGTTGGGACCATGATGATTAATGAATGAAACTACTCTTTCAAATAAAAATAAATAAATCACATTATTTGGTTTAGACTTTCACTTAAAAAGGGTCACAAGTTTTTTTTATTATTATTATTTATATAAATACTTAAAATTTCTTTTTTTTTTTTTGGTTAAATCTTACAGAATTTGAATGTATAGAGACATTTTATATTTTAAAATTATGTGCTGTAAATTTAATATCATAAACTTATAAATAAGAAATGATCCTAACATATTAAATAATAATAATAATAAAAGAAAAATAAATAAGCAAACCTTTATGCACTATCACTATAGTTAAGCAAAACAGAACATTATTAAAATAATAATTTATTTTTATGTTGCAAGATATATCAACTCTTAATAAGTTAGTATTAATTTTTTTCCTAACCCGATAAGAATCAAAGACAATCAAGCTCCAATTTAAATTGTCGTCTAGAAAATAACTCATTCAAATATATACATTTAAATAAAAGTACCAACTCAAGCTGCTAATCAAGTTCATTGATTTTTTTTTATTTACTGATAAAATCTTAAAATATACTGTCATAATACCTTTCACACCCAAAAAAAAAAAATTGACATCAAATCATACTCACATCGCAATCTCCACCATTCACCTTGTGTCCAAAGGTTAAATAACATACGATATCATTACGAGTACATAATTTTATCATATTAAAAGAATAGGTATACATCAACATGTAATACTACCCCTTGAATTTTAATGAATAATGTCACTGTCTATAGAACTAATTTTGTCATATAAAGAGTCATTATATTTAAACTTAATTGCTTCATTAAGCAAGTAACTATTTTTTTTAAACATCTAAATTTTAAATATTTTCACATTTGATTTTTTTTATAAAAAAATATTATATTAGATAGAACAGTAGAAATTTTATTTTAAACAACCATGTAAATCATATTTTTATTAAGAAAGTATACTCATTAATGACAAACTATCTCTACCAAAATTATATCATTCATAGTCAAGGTCTGGAACCTTAAGGAAAATGAATTCATAAAATTAAATGTAGAAGCGACTAATAGAGTTATAGTTTATATTTATTACACAAGAATTTAGAATGCACAATATGGTTACAGGAATGTTCCTTCTGAAAGACAAACGGTAATTAAAGAAACGAAATAAATAGCAAATACAAAAGTACCATATGACAACCTTCACTAGTACTTGAAGGGAGTTCGGTGGTGAACTACTCACAACCCTTTTTACTGATCGTGATATGAATTCTGATCCTCGTAATCTGAATTCTAATCCTCTTGATCTGAAATGATTAATGAAATAGTGAGTTATACTAGTTCAGTGAGAATATCACATTAATAACAAATATAGAAAACTGAAGATTCGTAAAAATAAGAAAAACAACTAATGGAGTCCTTACTTTATTTAAATACCTTTAAACTTGAAGACGTTTATTTGATACTTACTGTAATAAGTTTTTCAAAAATAACTTATGAAGACCTATAGCTATACTACTTTTCACTTTCATGCATAAGA